TAGATAAAAAATGCTTATATTTAGAGCGAGAAAAAGCAGCAGTGCAGTGCTCTGTTATAACTGTCAGTCATTTCTGTCTCATTTGTCTATTTTACAATTGTAAAGATCCTAATCTTCAACTTCCAGATATGTTGATTTAGAATTGTGATGAATCTTTCTCACTTGAATATAAACCACATTCATGTGTGCACATCTGCCACTGAGAATATCTTTAAAAGAGTGCTTTAGAAACACCTGGGCAATCGTGCACTTTGCAAATGTACTTTGTAAGCAGTATTTATGGTTTATGATGCATGAAAAGGAATACAATCTACTCTCTTCTTAACTGTTACTGCTTTAAAAAAATAACCAAACCCATGAGGCTGTGACCTTCTCATCATCTCACCTAATTTTCTTAGCATTGACAGTAGGATGCCCTAAGATATTAATTGCAATTATAGCAGGAAAGTTTTTTAAAAAAAGATAGAGTGGCTTCAGGAATATAACTGACAACAGATTTGTTGAAAGAGACATCTGTCTAAGTTTGTCTTAAACTGCAGACTGTATTTCAATTTTCTCTTTTGTTTTAAGGGTAGGGGTTTTTTCAAAGACAGGTTTTGTAATCGTAGTGGGAAAACAAAATCAATTTTACTTTGTCCTGACATAGTACATATTATTCAGTGAGAAATAAGCTCAATCCTTATTTTGAAGACAAAAAGCTTAAATTCTAATATTTAAGGAAATAACAGTCAGAGGTGGAGTGATCTCTGGGGCGCAAGTCTTTCTATTTATTAGACCTTTGTCTCTGTTGCATACTGAAAATTAGAATCTCTTGAAATGTTTACTATAATCTATTAAATCATGTCAGTAAGAATAATAGAAGAGTCAAAACAGCTGACTAAGCTTAAAACTGTAAGTGAATATAATTCCCTGAAAACAAATGATACTGGAATTTTCACTGACACTACATCAATAGACTGATGGTAAAAGTGAAACAACTTGCAATTGGAGTACTACAGATGACCTTAACGTGCAGAGTATTGCTAAATTGTTCTGTTTCATAATGAACATTTGTAAAAGCACATTCATGTGTTAAAATGATAAACATTTATTTTAATCCCGGGTGGATATGCTGATAATGACACTTTGTTTTGCAGAATGGTGTAACTGATGTAACCTGACATTTGGAGAACAGGTTTAATCTGTGTATAATTCCTTAGTGGAGTTTTCTAGGAATGGGTTTAACTTATTTTGGCCACATATAATTATACTGCAAAATGAGTAGAGAACCCTGACAGTTTTTGAGGATCATTTTTGAAAGTCACTGGGATTTCATGGTGTTTGTGGCAGGGTGGTACAGTGATGACACGTCACATTCGCTGAGACAACTTCCGGAATTGTACTGTAGTACGAAACTGGCATCCAAGTTCAGCATAAGCAAATTGTTCGATTCAGAGCTTATTTTTCGGGCTGCAGGAATCCACTCTGCCTCCACACCCACATAATTTGTCATTAAGTTCAACATTTCACTGGTTTCCTACTAAAGTTCCTTCTCCTTTCTCCCACATGGTGAGGGATGATGCCATCCTTCTTAGAGCTGTACGTTCCATTCAGGTTCCTAGATGTAGATTAGGTGTTCTTTCAATTTAAATCTTCTCTGAATTCAGAGGAATTATGCTGATTAAGTCTTGTTGATATCTGGTCCAATTGCGTTACCTCTCGCAGTTTTTTCTTAATTAGGCAAATAATCTTCTTGTTAATCAAATTCAGAGGTTTGCTGATGTTCATCAGGACAAAATTCTGTATTTGTGATTATGTATTTTGTGATTTATATGTTTTCACAAATGAAAGAAATATTACTATGTCATGATGAAAATAATATTTTATCTAACATTAGCTTTAGAACATCATAGATCTGACAGCTATGTCTTGTATCTTCATTCTGCTTTCCTTTTTTTTTTAATTATCTGGTTTGTGACTCACTGTATTAAGTTCCTCCCTGCCCAGTGTGTCATAAAATATAATATGAAGGGAAATATAAGTGCACGCATAGTCTATATTAAATTCAATTAAAAAATTTGGGGAATGCCCTGTTGTACAAATGGCTAGATATCAGTATTTACAAGACAACAGAGGGAAACTTGTGCCCACTGAATACCCATGGGGCAGCATAATTGGCTGCTTGGGACAGATGGCCTTTAAATGCTCAAGCTAAACTGGAATTGGGGGGTGGGTGGGTGGGTGTGTTACTTCAAAGTGATCCTTAAGACAGTGTTACCACTTGCAGGTAATTTTTTTAAATGCAGGGTTTAACTTTAAACAAAAGCGCGACATTTCAATGGCAAAAGAGACCAGCAAGTCTAACACACTTTTTGTGATTCTTACAGTGGAATGGAAGTGATGACCTTACTGAAACTACCTCATTACTTTTAGCAGGAGGAAATTCCTCCCTGACCTCTTGTTCATCAGCAAATTAAAATGGGAGTATTCTCTGAAGCTTGTCAGGCTGATTATACATAATGTTGTTACTACCACTGAGGTGAGCCAGCTCTTTTACAGTGATGTATACCTTGTTTAAAATCACATATAGCTGGAGTGGTAACAAAAAAACTAACGGTTTTTCTATATAAATCTTAATGCAGGAGACTTTATTTACATTGCATGTAACAACCAGAGTGCTAATGTTTATCAGGTATTCTAGCACTGGCTAGATTTAATTCATGTAACAGTAGGTTCTTTCATTCAATTTGATAGAAAAATTTGAACCAAACCCTCCATGTAAATAATGCTAAATTCTGGAAGGTTCAACATCTTGACACATGGATTTTCCTGTAAAACCCATGATGTGTTTGGCTATGTGACCTCTATTTGAGAGAATTTATTTTTGATAACATTAGTTATCCATACCAAGGATAACCAGATTACTTATGAGTGCTGTTTAGGTACTAGTAGGTACTCATAGCTGAGTCCTGACGTCCTCTCTTTGCACTGACTTTACCCCGTGAATCTTACGGTAGTTCTCAGAGGCAATTCTTGTTTCCCCACTAGGTCTGCAGTTTTTCCTTTCCCCTCATGGATGAACATCATCGAAATGGTCTGAAACCACAGTTCCTCGAAATAAAGTTAATCCACAAATAGAAAGAAAAAGCAAAATTTATGAAGGGAATAAAATACTTTACTGACAGCTGAACTTTTTATCTACCAGCTACGAAACGCATTAGAAAGATTGTAGTTTTTATTTTGGAATCCTGGGAAAACGTAACATTTTTTGGTATTGAGGGGGGGAATCTCTCTCCTCTTTTCCTTTTCAGCTTTCCGCTAAAAGAGAACTTCTGCTGCAAAATGAAACAGTCGATCTAGCAGTTGTGCTGAAGATCTTCACTGAAAGCGTTGCGTTCTACAGTGAAGACCAAAACATTTCAGTTCTTATTTTGCAGCAACAAGCAGAAATTGGAGATATTTTGTGTTTCATTAGAGATGCAAACTCAAAGAACTCTACACTTTTTAATTTGTGACATTCTGTCAAAGCTGAATATAATTATTGCTGAAACTTCAATGTAATGTTAAGATTCTTTGCCTGAAGTCTTGTGTTGATGAAAGAGACGTTTTATTCACTTTCATCTCTTCTAGGTATTCAAAGTATCCTTTAATACAGAATAATTTTCCTTTTCATAAATCTTTCATATTTTGTGAGCTGTCTATTGGTAAAATAGATAGGACTGATATTAGATAGCATATGTAATTGGCTTTACTGAGTTTCTTTGCTAAAGTGTGTATTCAAAATCCATTAAAGGAGCATTGAGATTCCTGTTTAACTTCAAGGTCTTGGATCCAATAATAAATTAGTACTGATGTGTTGCAGAGTTGAGGTTCTTTTTTCCCCCTTCTTAGAACCAGAGGTACGGCAAGGAGGAAAAAAATAAAATTAAATTAAACTTAAATTGTAGAAGGAATGTTTCAATTCACTGATCAGTCTTCCTCAAAATGACAATTTTAAATGAAAAATTATGTTGTTTTAGAATTAACTGTAATGTTTGCTTTTTTCCTGAAATGGGGTATGAGAGTTGGATCCGTATTTCCTTCAACTTAAACCAATATGCATTTGATTTATTTCATTGTGATTTTATAGAAACTTTAAAATGTATAGTTACATTCCAAGTAAAAATTACAATTTTGAAAAGGATAGAATATTTTGACTTATCCATTAATTCATAATTAGGTTTGATTTCCCCTTAGCATATTTGTCAGTTCTAGTTTATACTGTAATGAGGTTTAAGTAGCGGGATATTGTGGAGTGAAATAAATTTTACAAAGTTAAAATGGATCTGAATCATCCTTCCCTCAAATTACTGGGTGTCACAAAACTTAATAGTTTCAAAATTTTGCTTGATTTCTTGCATGGAATATCTTTTAAATAAGAAAAAAATTTAATGCTATGTACCATCACTCATGTTAAATACATCCTTTCTGTCTCCTGTTCATCACAGACAATACACCATTCGCAGTGTTTCAGTCTGATAATTTGTATACTTGGATGCAGCACATCATTTTGACATATAAAACATCTATTTATCTCTGTTAGGAGAAATCAAGTTATTATATAGAATCATAGAATCATTTAGGTTGGAAAAGACCTTTAAGATCATCGGGTCCAACCGTAAACCCAACACTGCCAAGTCCACCACTAAACCATGTCCCTAAGCGCCACATCTACCCGTCTTTTAAATACCTCCAGGGATGGTGACTCAGCCACTTCCCTGGGCAGCCTGTTCCAATGCTTGACAACCCTTTTGGTGAAGAAATTTTTCCTAATATCCAATCTAAACCTCCCCTGGTGCAGCTTGAGGCCATTTCCTCTCATCCTATCACTATATAGGTGAACAGGGTTCCTTCCCACACTCCAATTAGGAATCTAAAAAGAATGTTGGAATTAATTAAGATTAATTGGATTAACTAAGACTGTTCTCAAATGCATTGAGGAATGTTTTGAGATGATCTCATACTTTTATTTTCTGTATTAGACAGGGCTATGAAGAACTGGAAAGACAGCTGAAAGAAGTCTTTAAGGAAAGGAGCAATATCCTTCGTCAACTGTCGAAGACATCTAAAGAACTTGAGGGAATTAAAGTAAACCTCCAGGTTAGGTTATGTCTTGGTTTCTTTAGGATTAATTACCTTGATTTTTTTTTTTCATATTGAGATCTATTTATTACAAAAAATATGGGTTGGGTTTTTTTTAATATGTGAATAATTATTATTTTGTTGATCTTGTACTTAACATAAAACTGGTATTTTTACGGAAAATGTAATCCTAATGAGTTGGGCCCTTTGTCCACTTACTCAAAAAAATAAAGAAAATATGAAAATAGAACATAGTGGAACAAAAAAGAAAGGGAAGGAAAAAGCGTAAGCTGTCTTAGTGGAGTTACCACACGTTTGTCCTGGCAGCTACTATAAAGGATTTCCTTTGCTGTTGCAGGTTGCATCCTTGCTGATGAGTTACATATACTCATATACATACGGCCTAGTTTAGCTGCCCGCTTTACCTACCTGACATCCCATCTACACGGACTGACTGGATTTACCGCAGGGCATTACTTTACAAGTTTAGCTGACAAATTGTGCTAGGTGAGCCTGCAGCTAGAGCTGAGACACCTCTAGATTTAACTTTTGAGTATCATGGGTCGGCTGAAAGGGCAGTAGTCAGATTAACTCTGGAGTCAAATTAGCTCCTCGGAGCAAAAAGTAGATTAAAAGTCCTGCTCTGGATTTGAGGTCCTGAAATCACCAGATGTTCACTTAAGAGTCTTTCTGTTGGTCTGGTAAAAACATTCAGACTCATTATCAGTTGAGATTTGTCTCTGTATGTCATGCCATTTTAAAGGACTGTATTTTCCTGACATTGCATTTTTATCGTCACGTTGATGTAAGCTAGATGGGGAAAGTATAAGGAGTAGCATCCCTATATCTGTTCACAGGAGAATGCTGGTACTGTGTCTCAGTACTGTGCTATATTATATTATTATGTTGCCTTATATTTCAGACTTTTCTGGTTCTAATTTATGTGAACTTGTTCTAATTAATGTGAACCGTTGAGCCTATTGAACCTTTTCTTCTCTTTTTTTTTTTTTTGAGTGCTTCCAGTTTCTCTGTTATTGTAGGTGTTTTCTTCTTTTTAGAGAAATGTGCTTCTCCTTGTAACAAAGTTATTTGAGAGTGGGATTTCTTATGCAGCATAGTTGAATGTATTACTCGACAAAATTATAAGTTACTTTAAGACTCAACACTGCAGAGATCCAGATATAGGCAAAAAGCTGTAGAATTATCTTCTGTGTAGACACACTTAGCTTTGTCATACAATCTTAATGCTTTTAGTCATTTGTTTCTTTCTAAATCTACTTATTTGATCAGCTCTCATTTAATATTTGAAGAACAGTTGTATACAGTTAGTTGTGCTGAGTGATGGTAAAAGAAAAGTCAGGCTATTCATCCGTATCTCACAAGTGGTAATATCTGTAATTCACCGGGAGCATTTTATGAAAGAGGACCAAATTAATCATTTCACAGATGAATCACATTAAAGATCTCTTTGGTAATAGATTTCTTCCTTTGCTGACAGTCTTTGAAAAATGATGAAGCATCAGCCAAAACTGATGTGCAGAAACTTCTGGAACTGGGCCAAAAGCAAAGGTAAGACCCCACCTCCTCCCTTCTCCTTCTGTTTTCAGACTGAAAACTGTTAGACTAGGAAATTCCATCTTTCCTTTTACTTTAATCTATAAACACCACTGTCTGTATTCTAGAGTCTGCTGATTATAACAGTAAAATAAGGGCAGGGATACTATTTTGGGAAGTTTATTATTATTTAAATTTATTATTAAGCATTAGCTGGTATTGGACATATTTTAGGAAAAGATATTAAAATGCTACAGTGAGATATCTGCTACAGAAAGGGGTTTTGAATTTCCCAGGAAGGTTTATTCATGAAATTTTCTCTTAAAAAGAATAAATTCAGAAGTTGTAGAAAATGACTAGTGGATGGTAATGCCATTTAAATTACTAAAATATCTTAATCTCTGAATTTGGAGATGATATTATATATTTATTCAGGCCTCTTAATTAAATATTAATGCATGTAGATACTCAAAATCACTAGTCATTGTACAAATGTACTTGCACTGGATATCCGTGAGGAAGGCACCTAGGAGGAGAGAAGTATTCACTTCAAATTATTCATTGAGCATTTAAGAAATAATGAATTTCCATGGCTGGGAATGCAAGTTCCCAGGCTAGTCCTTAGTCTGAAGTCCCCTAGTGCTTTGCTGCAAGTAACTCTCATCATTCTACTTCTCTTAATTCTTGGAATTCAGACTGGCAAATAACAACATCGATACAGTTTTAATAACAAGAAAACATAACTAACATAGGGATCACTTTTGCTGAAACAATATTATATAATGAATGCATCTATGTTTCATATTTTTCCTTAGGAAAAAAAAAATTTAAAAACTTAATAAAGTTCATACTTCTTTCATTGTTAGAAATGCAATACTTAAATCCCACGGCCATCTTATTGCTCATATTTTATTTAATAGAAGTACATATGAAGTTACATTGCTGTAGAGAAAGTTTGTGATAAAATGACCTTCAGTTCTTTAATACACAACAAATAAGATCCATAATACAATACCATAGAAGTTCTCATTTTTACTTTGATAGAGAAGGGTCAGATACATAAGGATCTTTCGGGTATTCCAGACGAATCTATTAAATGATGAAAGCAAATCTTCAGCTAATGTCCTGTTTGAACACTTATACAGCTTGGGCGCAACTGAAGATACATGTCTCAGCATCACAGCTGCCCTTGTCACGGACTCCATCCTTCATACATGAATGTGTTTTTGTAGTGGTTTGATTGTTGTGCAGCTTTTATGAAATAGAGAGATTAATTGATTAAAAGTATTGATGGACTATTTGGTAAATAGATCTTAGTTGCAAATGGGAAAATTGAGTCTGCTAAGGGAAAATTTTACTACATACTACAAGTGTTCTTCCTAGCCTCCTCCTTAAATCAGCCCCTTAAAGTCTCTCAAGGTCCACCCAAAAGTACATGTAGACTTTTGCTTCTAAGGGATTCAGCTACTGAGTATACTGCACAGCAGCAGTGCCCAGAGATAGACCCTGGATCGGTGCAATATGCAGTATGCTGCTGAGCAGCCCTCACCCTCCTTCAGAAGAGAAAAGGCTTTTACAATATACTCCCAGAAAATGCCTTGGAGCTACTGCAGGTCCTTGACAGCTGTTTACAGGCTTACTGGATTTCACTTCCAGGGAGGTGTGGAAGTTCAGTGTAAGAAGGAGGTGCTAAAAATGCACCAGGGAATCTCCCTCATAGAATTTCACTAAGAAAGGGTCACAGTTTATTTACCAAGAGCCTCAGGCTGTACTTATCTGGAGTAAGTGAAGAACAGTGAACATACTGGTATGCTTAAATCTATTGTATTTGAACCAAAATCCAAAATATATCCCAATATTAATCTTATGATCTTCTTTCTTTGGACAAACGTGAGCTGCTTTTGGTCTGTGAGCACTACTTTGATTATTCTCTGCAATGATGGATGATACAGTAAAGTTTAGAGCGCTAGAATCTCAGCTTGTGTAAGTAGATGTAGTTCTGCTGGCTTCAAATTAGATATTTTTTTTAATTCCTTTTGTATGAATTCTTCAGCACTTCCCAATTGCAAGTAAAACTTCATCCTGTGATGCCTCAAGTTTTGTTCTTTCTGTGCACCATCAGCACTTTGAAATGATCGCATCTGTTTGTATGATAAGAGAGCTGATTGTGCTGATGGTGCATTGGTTTCATGCTCTCAATCACTATTTCAATTAAATTTGTTCTGTACTAGTGTTCCCAAAATTGCTAAAAGTAGAAGAGTTACCAGCTAACAAGAAAGATGACCCAGCAGCTCACAAGTTCTGTTCTTTGTATGAACTAGATGGTTTCCATTCCAGTTTAGTTTTCACTGGGCTAAATTATTATCTGTGTGTAAATCCAGTTCTATGCTGGTCTGCTGCGAAGGTTTATCCATGCAAGCAACAGCCCTGAAAAAGCTCTGCAGTTGTTCTGAAATAGTCACTCTTCTACTTTGCCACAGCTCCAAAGTGTGACACATGCTGTGGGTAGAAAGAGATGGCTGGCAGAGGATCTCAGCCCGCTGCAATTCTCGCAATTTGAAGAAATTCTCTGACTGCATCAGTAATGCAAAGGGGTTTTTTTGATCCAAATAAAGCTCGATCCAAACAATTATTCTCTTGTTGTTTTTTTTTTTTTCTTGTCCAGTTGTATGCCAGAATCTTCTACTGAATTTTTTGTTGCTTGTCTCCAGAAGGAGCCAGGCGAAGGTTGAATTTTATCAGAGCATTATTTATTTATTTATTTTAAAGCAGGTATAAACTAGTTCTTATTGATAATAATGTGGTTCCATTTGGTGTGTTTCCAGTAGCCCACTTTCCTCACTTTTTTGATGCCAGTCCTTTTTGCTAGAAATTATACACTGGCAGATGTTTTGCACAGCAGGCTACTCAGTAGATGTAAAAGGTGGCCAATTTCCATCATAGATAATTTTTGTCTTGTGTTGGCACTCTAGTTCATGGGGTCATTATGATTTTATTAGCAAGACTCATAGACGCAGGACATCTGTCTGTTACTCTGAATAATTAAAGGTGCCTTTTCTTGAATCTGAAGAATTATTTCTTAATGGACACTTGTGATGAAGTTTGTGTTCTGTGTTTTCAACAAACTAGGGAAGAAATGAAATCTCTCCAGGAGGCCTTTCAAAAGCAGCTTAATGAAGCAACTGAGAAAGCAGAAAAGCAGCAGGCTACCGTGAGTGATTCCCTGTTCTTCTTTCATTTTTTTTTTGTTTGTTTCTTCTGTCTTTTTTTAATCCTTCTGCCTTGAGAATTTGTCATTAGCTCAAATAACTTTGCATGTAAAAAACTTGGATTTCAAGTATGTGTTATTACTCTACAAACTTCAGAAGAAAGGAGCTGAAAAAAGTTTGTATGCTCAAAAGTGCTAAGATCCCTGTCTTCACTAATTTCTGTGGGATTTAGGTGCGTGTATACACTTTTGAAGATGGAGACTTGGACCTGAGTCCTTTCTCTGATGAAGTAATCTTTACGGACCCTCATGTCTCATCTATACCAATGTACACTGACATACATCTATTGACTTTTTTGGAATCACTACTGATTTTCAGCAACAAATTAAAATCATAGAATCATAGTAGTGTGTCCGATTTTGACCATAGTAGATCTAATTATCACTATAGGAAGGTATTAAGTCCTACGGAGATTTCATACTTTAATGAAATTCTCTTTCTGGATAAATTGTACAATTGGTTGGATTTTTGTGTGGCACTGTAATACTATGGTGCGTAAATAGCCACATTTTGCTATTGCAGGGGAAAAAAAAGTAGAATCATGTTTTCTGTTTAATTCTAAGATGTAAAAAGGAAATTTTTCCTATGTAGGTTAGTAGTAGTCCTATAACACTACTACCACTGAGCGTAAGTTGACTAGATAAACTCCAGAGGTCCCTTCAAACCTCAAGTGTTCTGTGATTCTAACTCTAGAGTTGAAAACAATCTGCTAGAAGGATTTATAAAATATCTGCACTGTTTAAGATGGTTTTGTACTGAGGCAAGATATATTGTCCTGAAATAAGAAAAAATGAGAACCTAGTCTTCACTGCTAAGTACTCAGAAACATGCTGGTCAAAAGTTGTCTTTTTCCAGGTGCTTGGACACATTCCTACTAGCTTTATCAGCACAACGAATTCTAGTCCTACAAATTAAAGGCAGAAAACATATTTCATTATTTAATTGCTGTATTAGATTTTGATACTCAAGGCTAATTCAGCTGTGGGTTAACTAAATCTCAGATGTAGTGAGTGGATTATTGGCTCATTTGTTCTTTGTGATATAGCGCTTTTTTTAACTTGAGCAGCAGTGCCTTGTGTAAATTCGGTCCACACCCTAGCACTGGGGAAGAGCACAGGATTTGTTCTACACAAGTCAAACAAAGTCTACTGTTAACTGTAAGCAAAAATATTACCTAGTGGAGAAACCAGGAAAAACCCCTCTGAGTTATAACAGAACTTGGCTTGGAGTGTTGTCAGCTGGTTAGAGAAACTGAATTCTTAAGCTGTATTCTAAAACGTGCCAATAATAGAATATTAAATTTGCTACTGATTTTAAGGAAAGCAGAACTGTGTCCTTGGTTTGTGACATTTATTTCTTTATGCCTCAGTGTACAATGTACATAATGAAGCTCACCAATACAGTGAGACTGAATGAATATTCAAAAAGTGCTTCAGGATCCTCAGATGAAAGCTGCAATAGAAATGGAAATAAATATTATTATTGTCACACAGGGTTACTTTACACTGGTTTCTCCACGTGTTTCATGTTTTTCTGAAAGCAACATGAATGCTATGAAAGAAGGTCTAGGTATTTTGAGACAAGCCTAGCTAGAGGATGGGAGCTTGAATTTAATTCTAATTTAATGAATTGTGAGTCTTGTTTCTAATCCAATTTAAGCACATTTTATTTTACAGGATTTAGTGAAGTAAATCTTGATTTTCATCAGAGTAAATAAGAATAGAATTAAATTTCTCAAGCCACATGAATAAAACACTGGAGGGGGATTGGAAATACATATTTCTTTTCTGCACTTGCCAAGGAGGCATAGTACAATGCTTATGATATGTTAATTGGCTGAATATATTCAACAGGGAACACCTGCCTGAAGGTGTTCTTTATTAGGTAAATGCAAAAGTGTAAGTAAGAATTTACAAGAATTAAGTCAAATTACATGAAAAATAACCTGGAAAGTATTCAAGGACTCTGACCAAACGGAAAGAACAAAGGAGACGCCACAGCAATACATTACACTTTGCATCCACATCTTGTGCAATGTATGGCAAGACTCTTCACTATCAGTTGCACAAGTGATTCATCAGAAACAGTTGTCAACATTATTGAGCATGCTTATCCATTTTTTTGGCCCTTTAAGACTAGAGAAGCCAAGAATGGTAGGCAGCTAAAAAGCTGCCGTTCTGAGAATCTGCTGAAGTGTTGCTGGGTACAGCCTCTCAGAGAGCAGCCAGTGGAGCTGCTGCTAGGTAGTAGCAACTTTCTGAGGGTAGAAGCAGAAACTCAGGCTTGAGGAAACAAAATTGAGGTATAAAGACATTCCTGTCCTTCACAGTACTAGTTAAACTGAGGACTGACCTGGGCAGGAGTGAGCACTCTCTTTCTGGGTCTTTCGTCTTCTGCATCTGTAGTACTAACATACGAAGAACAGCAGCAGTCCGTCTTGGAATAGGTCTTTTCTAGAAAATATATGGCAGACCTCGGATAAATTTATGCCTCTTGCTTCAGCTGCTCTATCTGTGATAGTAAAATGTGCAGAGGAATACTAGTTATGATAAGGATGGTTTAAATTTTAGAGTAGTCCTAGGGTAAGTAGTGATTCTGTATCTCTGCATTAAATTAACAAGCTCTTAGAGCTTTTTGGAGAAGGGCTCTTCACTTGACTGTGCTTCATGCTAACTGCTGTGTCTTAAGAAATAGTCTTTTTTTTTAGGAAGTGACCTTGAGGTTTGCAAAGTTGTTTCCCATTAACTGCAATTAAAGCGTATAAAAAGAGCTGGATAGCTCTGGATGAGGGGAAAAAGAAGGAAACGGAAATACTCAAAAATAGTTTGGCTAGGTAGACTAAGCTTAGTCTGCATTTTACATTTTGTTCCTGTTGGTCTTTTATATCATGCTAGCAATTTTTAAAAAGACATGCTGATGGAATTGTTTGACAATACAATTATAGTGCAGTCTGTCAAAATAAAGGAGAAAATATGTCTGCGTAAACTCCTTTTTCCCAATTGCTCAGTCTTCACAATGAAAAATGTGAAATAAATAACACATTATGCATGACTTGTAAAAATAAACAATATGGTTATTTTGAAATCAGTAGGGTTTTTCTTAGTAATAAAAGGCTAACAGAATACGGGGAATTTAATTCGGAGATATCCACCACCAAACAAGAATCTTAAGAACCATCACAAACTCATGCCTGCAATATTTTTAATAAAATGATCAGATGTCCATTTCGCTTCAAATATATTTATTTTGTTTAGTAACAGCCCTGACTTTAGGACAGGTCCTAAAGTTCTGAATGTCTCTTTGATAAAAAACTGTTTTATTAATTAAAATATAACTTACAGCTTAAAAGTTACATTCATCTCGGAGATCCTAGTAGGTAAAAATATATTTAGGTTTGCATTTAGAAGTATTTAACACCTTGTATAGCATTTTTTCCCCAAAGGTGAGAGTATTTCCTCTGTTTTAGGTAATAGCCCCTAACCAGTTCTCTCTGGCTTTTGGAGTCAACTCCTACACCATGAAAATTAATACTGAGTACATTAGGTTTTCCAGATATTGCCAAAATAGTTAGGTGTTAATCAATGTATTCCAATCCCATCTGAATTGCTCATGTCTTAGTCCTGAGCAAGATACAAGAAGTCTGGAGGTAAGCAAATAAGCGTACAGCTGAGCTTTGACTGCGTGGTAATGGTGCTGTATTGGTGTTCTTCCATTCTTCGTCTGTAGTGAATAGCTATTGTCTGACTCGTAGAATTAGATCACTGCCATCTGCTAAAGCATTCTGTATTTCAGTGGGGGAAAATTTAATTTGAGCATTTCAGGGTCACAAACTGCTGTGAGTGAAGGCCACTGGATGGAAGCTGTTGCCTTTAGTAAACATAATGAGCTCTGAAACACACAAAGCTCTGAGTACCTTGGATGTCTGTCTCTAGGAGACAGAAGCAGTGTCCTTGCTTAATATTGCAAAGTTCAGCCTCAGAACAATATATTTTCATTATGTATTTTCATAATTACAGCTAGATAGTAGTTAAAGGCAGCCAACATTTGGAAAGAGGTGAATGTCAAACAAGAACAAGGAGTAGGTAGAAAGGAGGAAGAGATGTAAAAAGTTTCTTAGTTTCAGTTTTTCAGTTTCTGTGCCTTTTAATTTAGAGCTGGGTATAAATGTCCATTCTTGTTTATTATGCTATCAGGATTTGGTGACTGAAAGTGGAATTTTTACATCTTTTCTGGAAAATGGTATTATGCCTTGTCCTTGGGACTGACTAAAAGCATCATGCAAATGGTCTGATACAGACGAATCTGCCTTAAAGCATGAAATTTTAGACATAGATGCACTTAAATACTTATCTCTATATTAGTTCCAGTAGCCAAGCCATATAAATCCCTCCTATGTAGCTCTCTATAGCTATACTTTGTGACTAAGTGGCTCTTCAGCTGTTAGAGATTTAGAAGCGCTTTAAAAATGCTGTTATAATATGAAAGCAAAAATGAATGACTTTTTAATTAATATTGGTATTATTTTTAAAAAAGAAAGGGACTTTTTTTTTTAATTATTCATATAAGCTAAAATAGTAAGTTTGCACTATTTAAGATGTCCATATCAGTGAGATCAGATGCACGTGTATGTGAATAGTAATTAACAAAAATTACTGGTTTAACTAACATTCATTGCTGGTTAAATTAAAAGTACTCCGGTGTCTTAAATATCTCTCCACTAGAAGATCCAAGCTGATACTTACAGACTATGTGTAGAGAGCACACAGACAATAATTTCGGTATTATACCTCTTTAATTATTTCATATATATTCAGATTTAGAAGTGAAGTGCTTTGAAAGAATATTAATATTTTCTTGAGAGTTAGGGAAACTTTCCTGAGAAAGGGAACACTCTTTAACGAAGGTCAGTATATTCTTTTTATCAGTATTTCATGCTAGCTGGCAAATCTTTTGAACAACTGAAAAACCAAAACCCACCATGTGAATAGGCTTTTTTTTTTTTCCCCTCAGTTAATCCTGATCTCATATTTTGATTGTGACCTTTATTTATTGTTGTGCAAAATCTTCATATTTGTTATACAGCAAACATGGACTAAATTTCACTGTTTGTGGACGTGATTGCCAGACAAGTGCTGAATATATTCATCTTCTGTTAAAACATCACCCTCAGCGGTAGCTGGATGTGTAGTTAGTATTTCCACAACCAAACCACTTAGACAAAATTTTGGAAGAGCTTGCAAAAGAAGTAACATTTATGCATGTCATTTGGCACTTGTCTCACAGACCCACTACCTACTTTTCTGTCTTAAATGATGATAGTGTTCTCTGACTTCTCTTTTGATACAGATGAGAGTGATGTCAAGTCCGGTGATGGTTTTTAAATTACTGACATCTGTCTACTTGAGTGTGGACATGATTCTAAGAACAGCTGTCATATCATGCAGATTCACTGTCATTTTTTATCTGCATGACATCCAAACCATTAATGTCTAGGTCAATGTCTCTATAATCTAAATCTGTTTTCTTACAGAGGTTTTGTTTTTGTTAACGAGTCTGCTGCAATGTCAGATGAACTGTAGTTTCCCGTGAACGTAGGTAGCTTTTGTATCAATGGCGGAGAGAACGTGGCATGGACCATTGGGTGTACAGGGATGAGTATTTTGCTAATTAAGGTATCCAAGAGCATCCTCCTTCAAAGTGAAAGGAACATGTTCTCTTAATCCTAGTTGTTATAATTACATCCTCCTTGCTCCCATTACATTCCATAAACCAGAAGGAAAGCTCAGTCCTGAAAGAAACTTAGACTGATTTGTAAAAACAGTCTTTTAAGCTGTGTTTGATTAAATTAAGATTGGAATATCTATTTTCCAAGGCAAGTCATTGAATTAAATAGAAACTAAACACCAGATCTGAATGCTTTCATATATAATACACTTTATTCCACAGGTCAGTCTGATCAGAATCAAGAGGTTTATCTCATTAGTAGTGTAGCAGTACTGTAGCATTCAAATCAAACAACTGTGTTAGAAACCTACTATGATAGCTGGTGTGTTCTTAGAGGGTTAAAAAAAAAATTAGATCATTAAATCAGTTAATATTGTTGTAAAAATCCTTAGTTCTCTGCAGATCACGTGGGACTTCATTGCGAAAAATAAACGCTATCTACTGGTGCAAAAGTAAAGTAAGCCTATTTATGTACAGTGATTTTCTTCTCTTGATTATAAGTTTTCTAGTAAATATCATGTTAAATGTTTGTAAATTCAGCAAATACCTAACTGTGGCCTATACCAGTTTGGTACATAAGCAGAAGTTTTCTAAGATAACTTATTGCTAGAAACAGATGTAAGGTAGTTTGTGGGTTTTTTATTTCCAAAGCTGTGAGTTGAGTAAAAAAATAATTAATGGTTAAACTGATGTTTAGGTACATTTCAACAACTCTCACTCAACATTTCTTTAAACCTGTAGATTAACTTTCTGAAGACTGAAATGGAAAGGAAGAGCAAAATGATCCGTGACCTCCAAAATGAGGTAGGAGGAACATTTAATTGTCGTCTCCATTCAGAGTTTACACTGAAAGAGATTATAGTTTGGCTTCATATGTAAAACACATGTTGTTGTAGTAGAAAGATACTCTAAACACAAAAGCAAACAAAAATGACAGTGTGCATTTAGAAATAGTAATTTATTGAATACAACTGTTGACTCCTTGCTACTGGTGCATAGGTCCATAGTACGCCTCTGTAACTTTTGCTGTACTTATGAGTTGTGCTTTTTCGGAAAGGAATACTTAATTCAGTTCTATAGATTGTTGATGCACAGTGAAACTTTCTTCTCAGTATTATTACCTGCTTTAAAAATAAACAGCAAGAGGAGGAGAAAGAAAATACAATCTCAGAATTGAGATTCTTAATAAAATTTTAAAAAAACACATTCCTAAAATATTTTCTTAAGCTTTATATGTCATAAATATTAAGCCCAAATTGACCCCAAAATCCCAAATAAAACATAAAGCATGTTTTATTTAATTTTTGTTAGTATTAAATTGAATTTATTTTGAAATTTGATCTTGGAATAAAAACTTAAAACAATTGAGCAGTGTCATATTTTTTCCCTCCCTATCTTTTTCTCCCCAAACAATTTGTCTAAATCAGGATATAGTTTCCCTTTCCATTGCTTCGTTTTGCAAAGAACTTTGCACTTGAAAATATTTTATTCAAATGATCTCTTGTTCTCTTTCCAAGCAGGCTTCTTGTCTTTATCTGTTCTGTTCAATTCTTACACTTTGCTCTTCTAAACTATTTTGAGTTTGATGTGTATGAAAACTTGATCTCCTTTAAGTACTTATTTAAACAGTGATCTCTGATGTCTTCAGTCTATGAGAGTCTCTATATATGGTCAATCTGAAAAAAGTGCACATTACTTTTTAACTTACAAAGGAAATATTGTCTATTTCAGTTGCTCACGTTATTTAAGCCATGTTCTCAGTTGTCTTCATCTACAGTCACATCCGCCTTGCTTCTTTTCCCACCTGTGGTCATTGGATCCTTTGCAATTGAGCCTGTTACTTCTAATAAATCATATCAGTCTGATCCTGTTGACCAGCCATAAAAAATCCTGTCTTTTATTGCACACAAATAAGTACTTCGTTAGTCAACATTCAAACCATCTGACTGCTAATGATTTTCTTAGGTAGGTCAGTAGACTTCTGTAATATTTAGTGTATTTATAGCACATTTTAGAAAATCTGCTTTGAAAGGAATCTTTCTTTTTGGCACCAAAAGTATTTGGTTCTCAATTTAAAGATGGAGTAATTCAGCAACATTTTATTTCCTGATGCTTTCCTGTCTGAAGTTGCAAGAGCTGACGGGGTAAACCGGATGTACCGATGTTGCACGTGTTTTAGACCTATCACGGGGCCTTTCAGAGAAACATCTAATTTGCATACCTACAATTTTACGTTTCCAATTGTGTGTCAGAGTGACTAAACATGTCCATCACTACCTAAAATGAATGGGCAATTAAGAATTAAGAAGGGCAATTGAATCAACATTCCTTCGATTCAAAACATAGGTATGTTGACTTGGATACCCACAAATGTACCAATTCACATACATTTTACATCTGTGTTTCTCTCTTCTTCTTAGGAAAAAAAAAAAAAAGGGAAGTCAGGTGAAATTCTGGGGTACCTGAGATCAGTGAAGGTGCATGAGACATAAATGCGGGCTGGTGGCAAACCCCAGGAGTCACCATGACCTGGTGGGTGGCACTCTGGGTGTGGCACAGTAGTGTGACTCCTCCCATCTTTTGAATTACAAGAACATAAGAAACGCTCAACCGTCCACCAGTCTCAGTGTCTTGTCTGTGACAATGGCAATAGCAAACGCTATTAGGGCAGAGCATGTGAGCCTGCCACACTTCCTACAGCATCTGTAGTCACTGGGTTTGGGATGTTAGAAGATGTATCCCTGTCTATTCCCTGTAGCGTATCTTTGTGAACCTGCTTTCCCTTGATATCGGATACCTCCACAACTTCTTACACTGTCAAATTCCCTCTTACTTCACTGGGTACTGGTTATGTTTAACTTAAAAATTTTTTTTTTTTTAATGTCCTTTCCTGTTCCTCGTCCCTTGAGCAAGTTTTTCTAAATTCTGAGGTTGCTCCTCTGTAGCCTTCTTAGCTTTATAGAGTCATTCAAGGTTTTAGAGGCTTCTAATACAGCATTTTTTTTAACAGCTTCTGGGCAGTTTATATGTTTTTTGGTCATTTGACTGTTCCTTTCAGAATTTGTTACTATTTGCCCTGTTTATACATAGTACTCTTTCATGAGATTGAATATCTGTGTGCTGGATTTGTGTGTGTGTTGCTGTCCTGCCACAGTAGTACCTGTTATTGCACTTCGTTAGCAGTTGCAAACAGTCTGCTGTTAGTTCCTCTTGAACTCAGCTCAAGGAAACCCTTGAGAACAAACCAGAATACGGTCTTTTCTTGGGGGCTGCAGGGCTAGCTGCAGTCATTTACTCTGTGTAGCTTCTTTCAGTCACATTGCAGATGTCTGGCGCTAAATTCACACCTGATGTGTGTTCTAGTCTAGCTCACCTGCTTCTCCTTCCTCCTCCATATGTCCAAATTACATAGGGTTTAACTATCATTCAAATGTTCTGGAGTTATTCAAGAAGATCTGACTGATTTGTATTACTCATCTCTTTTAGGTCATAAAATTAAAAAGGTGGGGGGGAAAGTTTTACTGAGGAGAAGAAAAAAGTCACATTCTTCTCTAGGGAATTAGCGAATTAATGTCTAGATGCTCTAAATGGAACTACGGAACCTTCCAGTACTTTCTACAGATGTTTCAAACTTGATGTGGGAATAAAAGGATTAAATCTTTCAGGAGGAGTATAATAACAAAGACATAACTAAAGGGAGGAGACTTCGTATCATATGCAGCAAAGAGGAAATGAGGTCTAGAAAAAATGCAATAAAGATTTGGTCTTCTAGGTTTTCAAAATTGCATGAGAAGTGATAAATGCCTGTTTCCTCCCCACCCCCCGCACCCACCCAAATGCCCCCCTCTCCAAGATACAAGGGTTTTGTGAACCTAAATATTTAAAAGCAGCAATGGTATGTGGCTAAAAAAAAAAAAGCGGGAAAAAGGTGATGTATCTGCAATTATTTTATTACTACCATATCAAAACACATTCACGTAGATAAATACTGGAAAAGTCTGCACAAGTGATGTGCTTTTTGTTTGTTTTTTCATTTAATCAAATTACCTGAGATATTTCCATTTTTTTATGTTGTCAACTTGCTAGATGTTGCAAGAGCTGTAGGAAAAGGTTGTGGGCACTGTTTATTTTGCACTTATTTTAGGAGGAAGCACAGAATAGTACTTGTGGTTAAAGAAACAATATGGTCCTAGCATGCCCTGGAAATCAGAAGCTCCAGCATTCTGTTCTTGGCTCAGTCAAATAAAACTTGCCTTGAGAGAAATTTGATTTGAGAGCATTGCTTAGTCCTTCTGTGCATCAGCTACTGCGTGGAAAAGGAACCAATAGCTATACCTACCTAATGGCTTTCTATTAAACTTCTATACTATGTTTGCCATTTCCTTAAAAGTAAGTCCACTAATATAAGTTTTTCTGCAATTTCAGTAATTGTTTTTGAGGCTTTCAATAAGGACTTCATATTTTGACAAAGATTTGACTGAATTAAATGGTATGATTTTGAGGAAACATTATGTTATCTAGGTCCTGCCTCCAATCACTGAATATACAGTATGCTTTTAAAAATCTTGTTTGTAAGATTGGATATGCTATATATTTAAATAATTGGCAGCATTTTATATGTATTTTTAAAAAGTGCTATCTGCATACAGATATATAGAGACAGATAATGAAAATGGAATTCCTGTCATAGCTACTTTTGTCCTTTCAAATATCACATTCGCCCTCAGTTTGTATTGGCAAATTGTGGATTTTGCTATCTCAGGCTCTTCCACAACACTAAAAATAATTCCCTATTTAGTTCTGTTCTTTCAGCGCGTGCCCTACTGCCATTCAACTTTGCAATTCAGAGATAGGAATAGACAACAACAGCCTTCCAACTGAATGCAGCAGCTGTGATGTAGCGTATGAGGAGAGGACATTGTACAGAAAGGCAATTTTCAGGCTATTCAAGGCTTTGGAAAAAAACTGTTAACAACAAAAATAGCCCCTGGTGTGGAGGGAAAAAAGTGCCAGATGCAACGCATAGGGATTATGTGTCTAAAAAGCCTGTCTTTTTTAGAGGTCTCTAAGTGCTTCCTGCAATACCAGAAAAAATCTGTCAGACTTCCAGCTGTAATGTCGTGTGGATTGTGTTAATATAGTCTAATACAGGATTGACATAAGGATTGAGATAAGCTCTTGTTTTGAGAAGTTTCTCAAAGAAACCAAAAGGTTGGGAAATTCAGAAGCACTGGGGAGCTAAGAAGCGTGGCAAAAATGTAGACTAAAATAGAATATGTATAAAATACTTTGAAAATTTTCCCTTTTGGAGGTGGCCTGTACAAGGGAGCAGCTCACTTCTACTATGTCAGTCATATATCAATTGTGGAAAATGATGCCAAAACTGCTCTGAAAATGAAGCTAAAGCAGGATGCTGTGTTAACCCTGGTTTATATCAGAAAAATCATGGGTCTTAACAATTGCTATTTGGCATTCAGAACCGATCATTTTGGGTGCAACTCTGAATATGAATATACATGATGAATTAATTTCTTAAATGAATGTCTGTTCTGCATTGATGTGTGTTGTACATTTTGTTAGTTTGTTATTCATTTCCTACTGGTACACCTATAAAAGCCATCATCAGTTAAAGGTAAGTGTCCTAGCTGATGTATACTTATATGCGATTTCCTTGAGATAAATGAGTCGGGAATTTTCCCTAAACGTTAATAAATGGTGTATATTCTCTACTGAAAGGTAGTGAAATGTTATTCAACTTTGTGACATAGACGCTATAGTTTCCTCACATTAGACTTAGAAGTGTG